TTTTTGCCACATATTTTTATCACCAGTCATTAACTCAATTTTGCTCATTTTTAACAGCCCAACAGGAAACATGAACATCCTTTCCAAGAGCCCAGTAACCTGCTATGCCACCCAATAACCCCTTACCCACAGGACTACACATAGGTACAATCCAGCTTTGTGTTTTCCACTCTCTAGGAGCCAGGGTATTAACAGGGTTTGTAGATCCAGCTGCCAAAACACCCACTTTTGTAGGGTTGCTTGTGTGGTCAGGAGAAAACCACATCTCTGCAAGTGCAGACATGGTATCCGCAGGTCTTTCAATTACACTGCCACTAGCTTGGCCTTCAACACCCTCTTGGCACATCCCAAGCACATGTGGATCCTCTTCCTCCTAACAGGACAAGAAAACCAACACAGAGTTCCCATAATCCAATAAAGTATTTTGAGAGTCACAGGGCAGGTCTGGCCTTCATTTTCTCTAGACCAAAGGAGGCAAAAAACATCTCAGTTACTCTGCTCCAATCCCTATTCATGGGCGAACAAGCTGGAATGACCAAGCTTCATAAACGAACAAACTGGAGCAAGCCAACACACCAAAGCGGAATACATTTGCTTGTTTTATTTATTCTGGATTAAATATGTAATAAATGTTCCCGCAGAACTTAAAGGCCCGAAGAGAGACAAGTCATTCCATCTTTTTACATGCCTAAGCAGATTTAATTGCTCAATTATTCCAGATAAACACGATAAGTTCCTCTGCCATGAATAATTTAGGATCTAACTGGCCACACAATGAATGGAACACAAATCAGTGGAAATCTATGGTTGCAGCAAAAAAAAGCAGGCAGGTTCTGAGACATCTGATGATTTGGAGATACCTTGAAGTTGCTATGATCTGTCATGAGTTACAGGGAGAATTATTCTTCTCTGCATGTCTGAAAGTCCACTTAGAACAAAAATGTACAAACTAAGTGCAGAAGGTTCTGCCTGAAGCCCCTGGTGCACCTCACAAGCGTGTTCATGGCCAGAAGTATTTGTCTAATGTACCTTCATACCAATTTGTAGGGCATAAAAGCAGCTCTTCGATATTATCATCCCTTTCCTATTCAGTTGAAAGAACCAGTGCCCTGTCCTCCGCATAGCAGGAAAGGCCCCAAGTATTAACAGAGGACTTGACGTGTGAGCTTTAGCTCTGCCCAGCAGCAGCTGCCCATCACAACTGCTGCACTGAACCAACGGGTGGGCGCTTGGGGAAACGTGGCACCGCAGAGCAAGAACGAAACCTCTAAACCTCCTGCGGTCTCCCTGGAGCGACCAAGAAGCCACAGAATGGGAACAGAGGGAGCTCTGAGCAAATTGTTTGCAGCTATATATGTGTGTGCAGGGAGGGGAGATGCAAGGGCAAGGAGATGGAGGAAGAGGTGGGAGGAATAACGAGGATTGATAGTGTGGCAGTCTCAAGCATCCTCACCTCATATGCATCATCTTGAAGCGACTTTGGCCAGCTAGGGGATGATTTTGTGCCAAAGTCCAGCTGTAACCAGGCAGATGACCAAAGGAGCAAGAGGGTTAACTGCCCACAGCAGGTCTGGTCTTGCCTGAAATCACTCAGCCAGGCTCGGGTTGTCCTGTCACTCAGCATAGGCTAATATTGAACCAAATAGCCATAAAGGCAGGAGGTGCACCCAGGAGGAAATGTTTACGGCAGATACTCCCTTTTATTCACTGTCTGCACCAGGGTAGGTGTCTCTAAGAACTTCCTCAGATGATAATGATGAAGCTTAAAAGCTGCGCAAAAGCAGCCCAGGATGCAGTGCACTGAAGCATAGAGGTCTGCAGGGATTATCTTGAATGATGGCATTGGGAAGCTCATGAAGAGACAGGGGAAAGGAGAACTGCTGGGAGGAAGAAAGGGGTCTGTCTGCCACGGGAGAGCAGAGAAGGCCCCGGAGATGGAGGGTTACACCTGGAAAGCATCCAGAAGGTCTGGTGATCCTAAACCCACGGTCACAAGACTGTCCCAGGCCAGCAACTTCCTAACACAAAGGAGAAATGAACATTTGTGTGAACATTTCCCCAGTAAAACGGTTGTGCAGTCAATACTCCTGCTGGTCAGAGGGCCAGGTACCACCTCACGGTTCCAGCGACCCACAACGAACGCAGAAGGGCAGTTAATGGGAATCGGGGCTGCTTTGCCAGGTCACCCAATAGGAAGTCACAGGGGCTGCAGTGACAGTCACAGGTCACTGCAGGAACCCCTGAATAGCAGTTTCTCCATGCAGAAAAAAAAAAAAAAAAAAAATCAAGCTGATTTCCTATTCAAGGTATCCACTTTGAAGAGCACATCTTGGCACCTATGCCATAATGTGCCCATCAGCTCCTACCCACACAGCATAAGGTACCCACGTCCACGGGTGACTGCCACGTTCACACTGCAAAATCCCTGCTCTCCATGTGCCAGCCTGGCACAAAGACCACGGTGATCTGAAACCATTGGTCTTACCACTCAACACCTCTTTTACTTAAATACGTCACAAAAACCATGTTAGAGCTAATGTATTGTTATTTGCATCCAAATGCACTTTGACATAGCTTATAAGTAACAAGTTGCCATCCTCTAATAAGCAAGAAATGTATTATTTCTAGCAAAAAAAAAAAAAAGCAAGTAATTAGGATTTCAACAGTAAAGCCACACAAAGGATACGTAAAATCCAGTGAACAGTTAAGAAGGAGATGCTTAATTGCCAACTAGCTTGCAATTGCAATCACCTTTTCTCCCTCAAAAAAATTACAAAAATTCACAATTACAAAGTGAAAAGGCAAAATTAAAAACAGTCATTTAAATCACTGTTTCTGCTCGCTGGTTTAAAGTCACTATTGCCATGGTGATCTAAATCAGCACAGCCGGTGAAGCTGCCCACCCCGAATCAGAACGGCTCCTGCTATGGGAAAGGGAGCCTCGTCTTCCAGCAATGAATAGCCAAGGAAAAAATATCAAATAGGGGCCCTGTTGGCCACCCTCCTGATGGAGGGCCTGAAGAATCATCTCTGAAAGCAACGCACCCAACGTGTTCTCACAATTTACAGGCTAAAAAAATGGACCAACCTGTCCTCAACTGTTGGCTATCCTTGGAAATGAGGCCTGTCTTGTGTTTGTGAAAGGCTCACAGGTGGGACTGGAGGAGGCAGGGCTGGGCAGGCTCCCATTTAAAATACACAGGTGAAGGGATGGGAGAAGACACCCACCACCCACAGCTGCTCCTTGCATCCTGACCCAAACCCAGGCAGAAGAGAACCACTGGAAAACTCTAGCTTCATTAATGAATGGCAGGGATGCAAAGAGCTTGTTTTACATAATCCTGAAACTGTATCGGAATCTAAAATCGCATCTTAAATTGAAAAAAGTTTCTGTTGCTGGCGGCTGTGAAGGAACGGCTGAAATGGGAACATCTTCGAGATGGTGGCGTATGCCAACGTCTGCAAGCAACCTTGAAGCCTTCTCTGGGAATTACAGAGCCATAAATCCCCGAGAAACAAACTACATTGCTCCTTTGAGTGAGATAGGAGCCCTAAGACCCTGCCATGAGAGAACCTGTCCATGTCACCGCAGCAAAAGCCTCGCAGGGCAGGAGAATAACTAGGCAACATGTCAAGAGACATCAGGACTGCTCTCCCATGCTGCTCCCCCAGAGAAAAGACCCATGTTCCAAGGGGAAGAGGACTCAGCTATCTCAAAAAAAAAAAAAAAAAAAAAAAAAAAAAGGCAATTCCTTTTGCTCTCCCTTCTCCAAATATGAGACAGGGGTACTGCCTTGAGGGTCAAATTAAGGGTTTGGAATCCCTTAATTTAACCCTGATCCTAAGGAGAGCCAGGCTGGGACACAGATTGAAAAAAAATCTGCTTTTACAAGCCAATATAAGTCCCACAGAACACCAGACTTTAGATGAGATGGTATTTAACAAAAATCTCAAATTAACTTGTCAGGCCAAGAAGAAGAAAAGAAAAGAAAAGAAAAGAAAAAAAAAAAAAAAAAAAAAAAAAAAAAAAAAAAAAAAAAAAAAAAACACAGCTTCTTTCCCCAGCAAGTCGTGTGTTTCTCCCGAAGGCATCGACAGGCAGGATGGCCAACTCCAGGCAGCCCCCTGCGCTCTGGCTGTGCAAGTCTTACAAGAAGCACAATTTCTATAAAAACGTTTTTCCTCAAGCTAGGACCTCTACACATACTCGTTAAGCGATGGGCATGCACAGCAGCTCTGAGCCAAGTCCAAGTTCTTCCTGGCTGCTGGCACAGTGAGAGAGTACATTTGGCTGGATTGGTAAATAAGACTCTGGAAACCCTACAACTTTGTCACACAAGAGACTGAAAGAGCAGCAAACAGCATAATCCAGGCTGGTTTCATCACTCTGCTTGGGTCTGACAAGCTCCAAACGCCACTTAGAAATGCCATTGGAGGGGAGGAACCATCTATCTTGCCATGATGCCTTCATATTTAGGCAACTGTAGTTCAATTACCAGCTCTTGGGACAATACTATGTCCTGAGATCAAGGGATCTCAGGATCTACAAAGTACCTTTTCCAGACAAGACAGCAGAAACGCTCAGTGCTTTCAGAGCCCTCGTCCAGGGCTGTTCTCCTGGAGATGTCTCCGGGCTGATTTTGGAGAGTCATGCACCAACCTCTTCAGCTGAACGGTGGGAGCTGCGGAGCCTCAACCACTGCAATTAGGAAACATCTTAAAGCAGAGAGACGTTAGCGACGGATGGGCCGTTGAGACAGAGCTCTTTAGAACCCTCCAAATGCCATTTCCCTCAAAAACAGCAGATCCCCCAACTCTTTGGTGCAGACCTCTGGAAACCGTGACGTCCAGCACCCACATAAAGCATTTTTCAGCATGTTCCTCTGAGCTCTGCTAGAACTTGGCACCTACAATTTGTTTTCAAAACCAGTATTTCAGAAGTCCCTGCATCTTTTTTCTCTTCCTAATTCAATACTGCAATAATGATCAGCTCCTGAAAGCGAGTAATGAGATCCCAGCAGCAGTTCAAAGACAGATGGCAGCAGCAGCATGCCTGTGCGGTGATATTTTTCCAAGCGCTCTCAAATTTGAAAGCCACAATCGTATCATCTGGAAAATTAATATGGCAGGTCAGAACAGAAGGTAGAGTTTGTAAAACCCATTTCAGGGCATTAGCTGGCCTGGCCCAGCATTGAATACTCACTGGGGACTCTGCAAAAACCCATCAGGGTTCATTCCCTAGTATGCCAAAGTCCTTTTGGGGAAGTTGCTGAGGACTAGAACAGCCTAGTTGGATCTGATGGATCAGTTCACGTGTGCATCACCCGTTGGCACCAAAAAGAGAGAAGGATATTTGCTTTTTTGCAGGCTTGACAGGTTGCACAGTAACAAGGATGGGCACGGCTCATGGTGGGCAAGAGGAGCCAGGTGGATCCTGCAGAGCTCAGGACACCTCTCTGCAACATCCTTGTTATTTCAGAGTAATCCAGCAGTTAGGGTAGCTCAACTCTTCCTCAGCGCCGTCATGGAATTTTCTTACCGCCCACTTGCTTTTAATTGAGGTCTTCCCCCTAGGCCTGTGTATTATCTACTGGGCATCATGCTCCATTCAAGACTTTCCCAACTGGACATGGTGACAACACCAGACCAGAAGTGCAGGATGTCTCCAAGGCAGATAAGAAGACACAGCATGTCTGAGTGTACAGTCTGAGCAAACATCCATGTGCTCAAGGGCCACGATTCAGCTGCTTCTTGAGAAGTTCTGCACCTCCAAAGTTGCAAGACTCCAACCTTTTTGGTTTCTCCTTCAACAGCTCAGGGCCTGCAGCTCTCCTCCTTGCCCAGTTGTTCAGATTTTGGGGCACTCACTTCAGTAGAGGCAACCGAAAAAGAGGCAAAAAGATGAAAATAAACCCAGGACAGTGCTCCCTAAGCAGAGCCAAGCTTAGCAGCACCCCTGCCTCCCCAGGAGGGAAGCTACACGTACAGACCTACATCCTCACGCCCTTAGCAGGTTTGCCCAGCAGACAGAGCAGCACCCGTGCTCCCTGCGAAGCGGAGCTGTGCGCAGTGACAAGCTCTCCTGCTCTTTGGGGACACCGCTTCCAGGAGCTGCTTGCTAACGACAATTAAATGGGCCGAACGCTGCTGCTGACTCCGACATCGGGCCCGGGCTGCGACTGATGCAAACACTGCCTGTAGGGCGCTGATAAGGATGTTGGATGATTCAGAACACTCTAGACGTAGCTCAACATCCGAGCCTGCTCGTGCTTCTGTTTCTGTGCGGCAGGAACTCCGTGTGCCACGTTTCTTAGGAAGGGAACGAGAGAGGCTATAGGTAGGGGGACACCAAAACTTCCATGACATGAAGCCCGAAAGCCACGTGCCTGTTTTCCCCACTGCAGATATCTAAGGGCTATACAGAGGCCTCCACGTAGAGAGCTTTGCAAGCAAGAGCTGTGTCCCAGCCGCTGGCGGCAAGGATCTAGTCCAGCAACTTTTGCGACACCTTTAATTCCACAGACCTGCTACAGAAATGAGCCCCACATCATTGAGGCCACATTTTGCTCTCTCATTTTTGGGATTGAGCTATTCCAATAATCTCCCTTTGATTTCATCCAGAGCAGAAAGTCAAGCCAACAGTACCATATATTTACGTTGTGAACTGACTCCAAAACTGAAATCCTCCCCTTTGGCTGTCCCTGATCAAAAGATTTTCCAGCCTAGATTAAAGGGCGTTTCAATGAAAGCAAAAATAACCCATTTTCATAGTTCAATTAGCACCACATCCCCTCAGATAAGTGCAGCCTGGGAGCATATTTGCACATTACGGCTCAGGGATGAGGAGCAATGTAAAACAGGAGTACAAGACCCAGTCGCGAGGTTGCCTGAGCTTAAATTAAAACCCTGAGGAACCCTCGGCAGGCACCAACCGCTCTGCTGATGTTCACAAATAACTTACCCTATTCCCAGCTCTATTTCCAGAAGTTTCTGATATTCTTCAATTCATCACACTTGGTTTAAAAGAGAAAAAAAAAAAGAAAAAAAGAAAAGAAAAAAAAAAACCAGAATCCTCTTTCTGCCTCTGGGTGTCTGAACACGACTACGTATGAGCAAAAGACAAAAGAGCAGCTGAGGAAGGAGCTCTGCTCAGAGAAGTAAGTTGGATTTTTGGCAATAAGAGCCCAGAGAGCTCTATAAATAACAGCAACTTCGATTTAGCTAAAGTTCAGGTCAGAAGAGACGCCACTGGGATGCAACCACTTCTGCCCAACATCAATATCTCTAAGGAGGAGACAAACCTTAGAAGACTTGATCCTGGATGGTAAAAGAGAGCCACATCGCTGCGTTTCCTTCCACGCCAGTGTTTTCTTAGCCAGGCTACACGTGCAGCTTGCCCCATTTGGCTAAGAAGGGGCAATAATTTTGTCTTTTTGAGGACCAAGAGCTCTCACACCTGCTTCCCTCCCAAGCCACCTCCTACCATGGCAGTGGCCAAGGGCACAGTGAATGTGGCCAAGAGTCGAACTCTCTTAACTACAGCTGAGAAGTGACTGGTGGAAATACAAAAAGAGAGAAAAAATACACAATTCCTGATTTTTCCTGCAAAATCGGATCCATTTTGAGCTCAGCAGCAGTTTTCCCATTATCCAACTTACTTTTCTCTTTAGAAAGCTCAGCAAAAAGAAGAAAGTGGGTTCCCTAGCCAGCGCTCTTTTAACGCTAACATGGCAAAATCAGATGAACACTAGAGAAGGAGATTAAAAAAAAAAAAAAAAAATCAGGTATCATCCAAGCAAACAGCTTGCTGTAACATAATGTACCAAGAAAGGCAAATGGAGGGTTATCGTGGCGCAGCGTGCGGCTTTGCTTCATTTGATATTTATTGAGCAAAAGAAAAGGCCAAGAAGAAAGCTGGCTGCTTTTTTCTCTTGCAGAAACATTAATCTTCACTTCCAGTTGTTCTTATTGCTTCTCCCCACCGCGTCGTCACGCAGGAAGCCGCCGTCCTCGTCCCCTCCTAAGAATTTAGCGCGTCACTGCGAACCTTTATGCTTTCCTGTAGATCCGTCCTGGGCGCCTTGATTCATCACAACCCAAACTCGGTAGATCACAGTCATTGCTTTTAGCGAGGCTGAAGAGAGCCATGAGTAACACCAAGTTGTATTAGTCACTGGGAATCATTTAGCCAAGCTATTTTTGATTTTTTTTTTTTCCAAACCTCTCCAAGCGAAGTTTTCATTACTTGAATCATCCTAAGCACTGAGAAGTAAAAGGCAACATACAGCAAGGAACAGTTAAAATTACTTATAAGCTTTCCTTTGTCGCTGGCTCTAACTCAATTGCAATCTATCAAACACAAAACTTGCCTATCGTCGCAGACAGCTCCAAGAAGCCCCTGTTTGGGCTGCAGCAGTGGCTGAAAACGCAGACGAGGTGTTTATATTTAGAAAGCTTTAGCAAGTACAAGTAAAATCAGCTATTCTCTAGCCTCACATTAGCTTCTTTATTCAGTGCTAATTGCTCCGTTTTAAAAGGTACAGTAGGAATTAAAGAGTTTGACCAGGCGATACCGGAAGCATCCTTCACTGGTGTACTGCAGACACAGGATGCAACAGGATGGGGATATACGTGGTCCAGAGATAAGGGGACCAAAAGGTGAAGAACACCAGTGAACAAAAGGTAACATGCAGGGAATACACACTAGGGTGCCACATTTAAGGCCAATATCAATATTTTCTATTATAAAAAAGTGTGTGTATATATATATATTTTTTTCACTAAATATGGGGCAGGAGCATCGCTCCTACAAGCACAGGCTGAGAGAGCTGGGCCTGGTTAGCCCAAGACCGAAAGAGGATCTTATCAGTGTGCACAAGTACCTGAAGAGAGGGTCAAGAAAATGGGACCACATTATTTTCATCTGCCCATAAGGCCCCAAAGACAGGAGAAATAAAATTGTCAGCTTTGCTGTTCAGGCAGAATAAGCAAAATTGAAACTTTGAAGAGCCTCCCTCACTTCGCTCCCATGGCAGGGGGGACATAGGCCTGGAGTCACTCCCAGCCTGCTCGGCCTGACGCTGCGTTGTGGAGCCTGCCCGGTACCACCTGCATCAATGGAGGTCTGAAAACTCCCTGTCTCGTAATCAATCACCTGCTGCTTAACAAATTTATAGTAGTTAGAAGGTGGCTTAAAACCCCGAGCGCTTCAAAACATGAGGAAGTTCCAGATCTTCCAAAGGGCTTGGTTGGTTTGCTCCTTAATGAAGGATCAATAAGGAGAATGACCTGTTTGGGCTGTTTAAAAAGGGCAACAGGGACAGGAGAGATTAAATCTCTCATAAAGTCGTATTTAATTATCTATAAGCAACTAATATATTCACCCTTCTCCATCCATTACTTCTCTGCTCAGCTCCTTGATTGCTTGTGAGCGTGCAGGTCAAGTAGGATGAACCACAGCTTGCACTAGGAGCCTCTACTTGCAACCAAAATAACAGAAGCTTCTAGCTTTATTATAACATAGAGCAAAAAATCGGGCCATGTGTCAGGTTACTATAGGTCTGAAAATGTGGCTTCAAGCCACATCCATTACGGAAACAATTCATGCTCTGATTTAATGACTCCAGGAGTACACAAGTTAATGAGAAAGCCACACTAGACCTATGGCCAACCGTTTCCCACAAAATCCTATCAGCATTTATTAGACTCCAGTGTAAAATTCCAGCCTCACAGAAGTCAAGAGGGATTTTGCCTACATTTACACAGTAGTCACTAGAGACCTGTAAATGTTCAGAAGCTGGATGACTGGGGAGACAGCAGTTGAAGACAGCTGAACTTGAAACATTTGTTGGCCCTCATTTTCACCAAAGAAAAAAAAAAATGATAATTTCCCTTGTACTCTAACCACAGGGCTTCCTTCCAGGCTCACGATGTTGGTGGTCACTACAGTGACTAATCAATCCAAAGCCTCTGGAAGTCCAAAATTTGGGCTTCTTTATGAGTC